TGTTCTTTGGTACAATTATTTTAATGTCCGTTAGATGAATTTTTAGTACGGCTGGTGTTAAGATATGGTCTAAGATATCTTTTTTGAATTTGAATTGTACGAACTAGTCATGGTTATATTTTAAATATAACTATCTTTTGTTCAAATGTATGATATTTGAGTAACAACAAGAGGAAAACATAAAATGTATCATCCATACTAAATTGATATATTTAGTTGATTTCACATTTTTAGATTTCTAGTTGATAACCTAGAGAATCTATGTCTTGATGTGTGGTATTAGATATTCTAATTATGCTAAATTGTTATATTCAGTTGATGTTGCATTTAGACTTTAAGTTGATAACCTTGAGAATCTATATATTGTTGTTTTGTGTAAGCATGCTCTTATGTTGTTGCTTTGTGTAAGCATGACCCTATGTTGCTAAAATTACATGAATGAGGTGATTGATGCTAGAAATGATCTTAGGTAGTTAGGATGCTCCTTGAGTCTCACCTTTGACATAGACGTTAGGTGGAATGAACAACAATAATTAAATCATGCAAACTTGTAAAACGTAGGTCGATGCATGCTCATTTCCTACAAGTAACTTTATGTTACTCACCCCTACGATACTGAAGCATATTTCAGGTACAAGAATTAAAGTTGAAACTTCCATTATGCTTGGATGACTTGTGGACTTAAAGACTTCCATTTTTGTGAAAGTTGGCTCAGAATGCCAATTGTAGTCTTAATTGTCAAATGTATATATTTGATTCGAAACTTGTAATGTGTGCCTAAGTACACTTTTGATTCTCATTTTATGTATATGACATGAGGCCAAGGGCCAAACTTCTTTTAGAATCACATTTATGTCATGAATGTTGACTTTTGCCCTTAATGAGATTATATGAAATTCATGCGTTTTAGTACGCTATTTTGCACCGGAGCGTGTATTGTGTATGAAATTTGTTATCTAGAATTCATTTAACATGTATGAGGTGTGGCCAAAGACCAAACGGTATTTTGAAGTCATTTCATAGTTTTGAATTCAAAGTTTTCGTTCCAAACTTTGTTTTTGGCATTTTTGCCGTTGGGGGGTCATATTTTGTATCGGCCATATTTTTGGGCCATGGACCATTGTAGCACATCTTACTAGGTAAGTTACGTTTACGTGCATGGTCGTTTCCGGGCAAAGCTCCTTCTTTGGTGAAATGAGCCTCCTACGGACTCATTTTACGCTTTTGTTGCATATTCTGACCTAAGGGTATTTTGGAAATTTTCTTTGGGAAATAAATTCCAGTCTCTACATTGTCACTTAAAAAATGTGATTTTAGGGGGGGTTTTTTCTTTGTGTTTTTCCAAAAAATGTCGTCTTGGCATCGGAAATCAATCCCGAAGTTCAGCTTCTGTTTTTCCATTTAGCAGCATTTTGGACCCTCTGGACCAGTTTTCTTGAGGGGGCATTTTGGGCATTTTACAGTGCATATTTTTTAATTTTTCTCATGAATCACATAGAAAACTCGATTTTGAGGGGGGTTTCTTTTTTGAGTTTTTCCAGAAAATGACATCTTGGCCCTCAAATTTCTATTTTCCCAGAAAAACCCCTGCTGCCAGGTTTTTGGGTTGCACTTTACTGCCCTCTTCACATGTAAACGGTTACAAGGAGTTTCGTAACCGGTTACATGTGCATGGGCAGTGTTTTGGTCATGAATTTTGGCCTCCTAACCGGTTAGATGTTCTTGGTTGTCACCTTTTTGACCGTTTTGCCCCTTCTTCTTCCGTTAGCCATATCTTTTTCATCCGGACTCCGAATCAAATGATTCTTGAATCTAAATTCATTAATTTTTCGTTGTCTTTCCAGTGGTGTGCTCGGTGGCACCCATTTTTAAGTTAAAAATGATAATTTTGCCCCTAGGTTCATTCTTGTTCGTTTTTGAAACGTTGCTTCAGCATTTGATTCCTTTGGGTTCCGTGACCTCGTTGAGGGTCACAATGGTGTCTTAGAGTAATGTTGTATCTCTAGAGACCGTTGTTTGTCTTTTGTTTCCGCATTTCGGATCCGTTATTGGGTCATCTTTCGGTTCATCACTAACGCACCGGATTGAAAAACTTGGGCTGTCACATGAGGAAACCATGTCACTGCCTTTTATAAAACTATGAGTGGTTACTTACCCCGAAGAAAAAAAAAAAAAAAAAAAAAGAAAAGAAATAAAATAAAAGAAAAGAAAAAGAATGAGTGGTAAAACCAAAAAAAAAAAAATATAAGTGGTAAAACAAAAAAAAAATTAGTGTTCATTACAACAACCATTATTGACAAATCCCCAAATCAATTTATCTTGTGAGATAAATATGTATGTTATATACGGACAAGTGCAGAAAACACCCTAAAGTATGTTTCGCGTAATACTTTTATCTTTTATTTGAAAAAATGTGCAAAAAACATCCATATTCTTTTCACATTGTGCAAAAATACCCAATCTGACATAAATTCGTATTGTAATACCCGTTTTGCCCTTTTACACTTCCGAAAATGCCCAAGGAATATATATATGCTACTAATCTTATAATATAGGGGAATTATGTGAACATTACCTTTTATATATATATATATATTTAACTTTTTTCTCTATAAATATCTCTAAACTTTTTTTTTTTTTTTTTTTTTAAACTTTGAGAATTTGTTAAACAACGATTTGAATTTTTTGAGATTTCAATTTACTATTTGAGGATACCGAAGGCAGAGTGGGCCGGATCTGACCCAAGAGGAGAGCATCGGGTTGGGCAGCAAGATCAAGCCCAAGCTTGGAGAGTAATACCACAGGCCCAACACCGGAGATCCACCGGATTGAGTCAAGCCCAAAAGGAAGAAGGTCCGAAGACTGAGAGTCCAACATAATAAATTAGTTATAACACTTGTAATTGCCTATAAATAGGTGTAGAACAGAAAAAAAAAAAAAAAAAAAAGGGGATATAGAAAATTGTGTAATAAAACACTAGAGAGATCAGGAGAGATATTTTTTCTTGTATTTACAATTGGCGCCGTTTGTGAGAAACGTTGAAGGTTAATTCTTATTTGATCAACGTCGTGTTGATTCAGACTGATTGGTGAAGACGAAGCTTCATTTCTAGAAGTTGAATCCAGATCTGAGAGATTGCGGTTTGCTCTTCAGAAGTTCTTGATTCATGATTGATTTTGAGAAATTGGTGTCGGATTTGCACAGCGGTGATTCATTCTATCGTGGCTCGATCTGATAAGTTCAAAGCCAGGAAAGTTCAGATCTAGCAAATGGTGAACGCAATTCGTAAAATTTGAGTTCAGATCTGACATGATTCGGGTTAGTGAAACTCATATTTGGTTTAGAATGTGTAATTCATGCCTTTGCTCCGTTCCGGAATGATGACTGGGGGTGATAACTCTAATACGGTAGAGAATGTCCAGCAGATAAAACTTGATGAGTTGATGAGAATGATCGAAGCTCTCAGGAGAAAGAATGCAGAGCTAAGGACTGAAATGCAGCGTCATGAAGCTCCGATGATTCTGCGACCGCTCCTGGCAGGAGAAGAAGTTCTACGTCCCAGTGCAGCACATCACGGTGAAGAGGTAGGGAACAATCAGACAGATCTTCACCACGAGGAGGTCCGGCCAAATGATTTGCCGCCAAATCCTTATCGTGTTGATGACCATGAAAGATCAACTCACGTGGATCCACGGCGTGAACAGATCAGGCGAAACGAAACCATGACTTTCGATCCAAATCAAGAAATGCTCAGCCGAGAAGAAGCAATGGAGTTTGATCGCCATAAAGCTATACCGCCGTGGCACAAAGAATTTATGGAGGAAAGATCATTCGATCCGTCTTATCGGCCTTCCATGGCAACGTTCTATTATCGAAGCTCAGAAAGGAGATCTATAGATCAGAGAGCTACCGCGGGGTTCCAGAGGGAGAATGAAGCCCTCCGTTCAGCAGCTCGAATGGTTGATTCGCCGTTCACCGATGAAATTCTGAACGCTCCGAGTCCGAGGAAATTTTCCATGCCCGTTTTCATTCTGTTCGACGGGACAACCGATCCAATTGATCATGTATATCACATCCAGTTGAAAATGGCTCTGAACACTGAGAACGATTCCTTGATGTGCAAATGTTTTCCTACAAGTCTAGCTAGACCAGCGCTCAATTGGTTCAAAAACCTGCCGAGGGGCTCAGTGGATAGTTTCCAGCGATCGGTTCATAAGCCAGTACTATGGAAATAAACGTCCAGCAAAAGACATTTCGAGCCTATTCACAATGAAGCAGCATGAGGATGAGCGTCTCCAAGCTTTTCTTACAAGGTTTAACCTTACTAAAAGTATGGTGATTGAATGTCATCCTTCTACGGCGGTTCAAGCGTTTAAATTGGCCATGACTCGTGGCACTCCATTCCACACAAGCTTGGTAGTGAATACGCCGAAGACTATGGATGAACTCAATGAAAGAACTGATGGTTTTGTGCGCTTGGAAAAAGAAGAGGCAGCTAACGCTCGAAAGACATCCATCATATCAATAGAAAAGAAAACCCAAGTAAAGATTAGGCAAAAGCAGGCTCAGCCACAGTGTCAGACCTCCTGGAAATCTGAGAAGAGGCCCAGGGAGGAAGAGCTGGTTACTCCATTGTCACCTTAGTAAGGCTTTACTAAGAAAATAAAGATAAGTTCTGATCCCCATTACCAATCAGACAGCCCCTCGAGCAGAGGGACCAGTCTAAGCATTGTGCATTCCATTCTGACTTTGGCTATCAGACTAATGAATGCAGGAACTTAAGGAGACGGGTAAAGATGCTGATAGCCAGAGGGGAGTTCGCAAGTTATATTCAAGGCCCGACGGTAGAACAGAACCGACCGATGGAGCAAGTGAAGAGGAATCAGAAGTTGAGCTCCCTCAACTCGCAATTAGTTCGAATAATTAATGCAATTCACGGTCGGCCTGAACCCATTGAGGAGTCAGATGAACTGCTTCGGACAAGCCTTCGCTAGGCACAGATGAAGAGGAAGATAAGTAGTGTAAACACTCTGTACCAGCAGAGTACATCAACACAGATTAAGTTTAACAGAATCGACTTGTTACGTGTTCAAATTCCTTATGAGGATTCGTTAGTCGTCAGTTTGACAATAGCAGAATGCCTGGTACGACGAGTCCTGATTGATCCTGGAAGTAGCGTGAATGTTATGCCAAGGGACACGTTCGATCAGCTCGAAATAAAACCCGAGAGGCTAAAGCCTACTGCAAATCCCTTGCTAGGGTTTGATGGAAAACGGGTTGAACCTATCGGTATGGTAGAATTCACAGTGCAGGCTGCATAAAGAGTTCTGATAGAGAGTTTTATGGTTGTTGAGATCCATCTATCTTACAACCTTTTGATGGGCATAGGGTGGATTTACAGAGTTCAGGGTGTTCCCTCAACTCTGCACCAGGTAATGAGGTGCCTGGGGCCTGACGGAAATAAGGTGATTGACATTCATGGGGACTAGGTTGCAGCTAAAGAGTGTTATTCTGTGACGATGAAATCCGCTGGAAAAGGAAAAGCACCTATTCGCTCGGCAAGCTCGAGATAGCAATTACAGAAACCTCCACCCATACAGAATGGAGATGAGGAGCCTATGGACCTAACTGAAGAGCCCCTTGCTAATGTGAAGATCCACTATGACAGGCCAGAGCGAACAACCAGAGTGGGAATAAGATTTGCCGAAGAAGAAAAACGGTAGTTAATTGATTTCTTGTCTCAGAATGTTGATGTGTTCGCATGGAGTCATTTAGACATGCCTGGAATCAGTCCTTCTGTATCCTGTCATTCCCTTAACGTTAATCCGACCGTGAAACCTATAAGGCAGAAGCAGAGAAGGTTCACCCCAGAACGCAACCAGATTATAGCCGAGGAAGTTGATAGGTTACTTGATGCAACATTCATTAGCGAAGTACATTACCCAGACTGGGTCTCAAATGTTGTCGTTATGCAAAGAAAAATGACAAATGGCGAGTATGTATTAACTTTACCAATTTAAACAAAGCCTGTCCGAAGGAAAGCTTCCCGCTGCCAAAGATTGATCAAATGGTAGATGCTACCACAGGGTACGAGCGTTTAACCTTCCAGAGTGCTTATTCAGGTTATAATCAAATCCCCATGAACCCCGCTAATGAAGAGAAAACTTCTTTCGTTACCGAACGAGGGACTTACTGCTACAGAGTCATGCCGTTTGGACTAAATAATGCAGGAACAACCTACCAGAAGTTGATCATCAAGATTTTTAAAGATCAGATGGGAAAAACTGTGGAGGCTTACATTGATGACATGGTGGTGAAGAGTAAGAGGAAAGTTAATCATTTGAAACATCTTCAAGACGTGTTTGATGTGCTAAGAAGATATGGAATGAGGCTTAATCCAAACAAGTGTTCATTCGGCATGAGTTCTGGACAATTCCTAGGACATGTAGTTAACCACAGAGGAATAGAAGCTAGCCCAGCTCAGGCAGAAGCTCTGATAAAAAATGTGGAACCGAAGACAATTAAAGAAGTGCAAGCTCTCACGGGTCGAATAGCTACATTAAGCCGATTCATCTCAAAGCTGTCAGATCGTTGTAAGCCATTCTTCGACACAATACGGAGCCATGGGAGACAGGTACGGGATGAACAACGACAAGCACTGACTCATTTAAAAGAGTATATGCAAAATCCACCAGTCCTGTTTGCTCCTGATCCAGCACAGAAGCTATTTTTATATCTTGGGGTATCCAGTATTGCGACAAGTGCCGTTTTGATTCTTTGCAAGGAAGGAGTGCAATGCCCGGTGTTTTATGTTAGTAAAATGATGACCGAGGCTGAACGAAGATATTCGAAGGCCGGACGAGTGATACTTTCACTTGTAAATACCAAGAGAAAGCTGCGGCATTATTTGGAGTCCCATCCTATAGTTGTTCTGACAACTTTCCTAATCAAAGTACTCATGCACAAGCCGGACCTCTCGGGGAGAATGACGAAATGGGCCATAAAGTTAAGCTTATTTGACATAACATATGAGCCCAGAACAGCTATCAAAGGGCAAGTGGTGGCTGATTTTTTGTTGGAGTGTGATTCAGAAGATGCAAAGGAAGACCTTAGAAGTTGTCCATGGAAACTCTATGTAGATGGCTCCTCCAACCATGTGGGGGTAGGCATTGGGATTAAATTGAAAACGCCAGAAGGCACGTCTTTGAGTCAAGCATTCAGACTTAAATTTCGAGCCACTAATAATGAAGTAGAATACGAGGCATTGCTAAATGGACTAAAGTTGGCCAAAAAGCTGAGGGTCAGCAACTTAACTGCTTTTAGTGACTCACAGTTGATTGTCCGGCAGGTGAATGGTGAGTACGAAACCAAAGACGAAACATGTGATACCCCTCGGATCCGAGACACGGGTTGATCAGGCCTAGGCCCAAACCCGAGGGAATATCAAACAATTAAAGTATTTTATAACGAACACAGAATACAAAATGAAATAAGAATAAATATTAAAAGCTAAAAAACATACTAATAGAAAATCCTCAACTAATAAAACTTAGTAAAATCCATCTGTCAAAACCTCCATGATTACAACTCGGGAATCCAACTAGTGGACCCTTGAAGAAAATCTCAACTGAACTGAAAACTGAAAATAAATAAGCTGGAATCATCGAGAGAAGTCCTACGTAAACAGATGAATATGAGACTGTCCTCGACCAGCACGATCAAGATCTAAGGCTGGAACCGTCCTGTACCTAAAAAGAATAATAGAAGAGTGGGTCAGATCTACGAGTAAGTTCTAATCTAACTGCAATCCATACAGTGACCCAATACGCAGATACACCCTAGATACCTCACAATATCTATTTAGTCCATACATACATATATCCACACTAAAGGACATGGTGTATTTATAAGCTTTAATCCCTAAAACCCTAATCTTTGTAAGATTAGAGACAGAGCTCAACTGGGCCCATAAACCACCCTCGTTACAAACCTTGTCGGCTTCCACCTACGAGACTTCTAACAGAAACCCTAATCGTGATATTACAAAAACGTCCCTAATTTAACAAGCGAATAATAAAACACTGAAATACAAATAAAATAATATAATTAACAAGTAATAGAAAGTATCACACAACAATTAACAATTTAAATAAATAACAATGCACAGAAAACCATTAAATTCAAAAAAATCAATTAATAAATGCAAGTAAACAATTAAACGACCAAAAAGAGTAATTTAACAAATAAAAACCAACAAAAATAAAAATTAAAAATGCCGAGACTATCCTTTTAAAATTAGGGGTATTACAAAACGATAGAAACATATCGTTCTGCCGTGTTACGTGCAGCCAAAAGCTTTGAGAAAATTGAATTCATCCGATTGCCGAGAGAACAGAATGACGATGCCGATCGGTTAGTATGCAGTGCTTCGAGTTCTGGGGAGACATTGGCGAGGGTAGTTCCAATAGGTATATTGAGCCAGCCATCCATCTTCGAAGAACCTACAGGCTCCGATCCTGGGTAAGTGAATGTCTATTACATATGAGCTGAGTTGGATTGATCCAATCGTAACGTATATTCGGGATAGTATTCTGCCCGAGCAATGGGAAGAGGCTAGGAAAGTCAAATCGAATGCTGGAAAGTATGCCATAGTGCATAACCAGTTGTACAGAAGATCTTTTTCCAAGCCATATTTGAAATGTGTCACCCCCACAGAGGCTCGGCAGATATTGCGAGTTATTCATGAAGGTGTATGTGGGAATCATTCCGGGGGAAGATCTTCAGCACACAAAGCAATGACACAGGGGTACTTCTGGCCAAACATGTCAAGAGATGCAGAAGAGTTCTCTAAAAGGTGTGATAAATGCTAAAGATACGGACCATTGATCCACCAACCACCTGAAGAATTGCACGTAATGGCCTTTCGCACAATGGGGGATGGACGTGATTGGTCCTCTGCCAACTGCAAGAGCTCAGAACAAATATGTGTTGCTGACAACATATTACTTTACTGAGTGGGTGGAAGCAGAACCATATCCGAGCGTGACTCAGACTCATGTGAGACGCTTTATTTGGAGTAATATTATTTGCCGTTTTGGTGTTCCAAGGTCAATCGTCATGGATAATGGAACCAACCTTGACAGCAAACAAGTAAGAGAGTTGTTGGAGGAGTATGGAATTAATCAAAAGTTGGCAGCAGTAAGTCACCCCCAGGCCAATGGATAAGCAGAAATCACAAATAAAACAATCTTTGCTTGCATCAAGAAGAAGCTTGAGGATCAGAAAGGAAAATGGTTAGATGAACTGCCGAACTTTTTATGGGCTTATAGAACGACCCCAAGACGACCGACCGGAGAGAACCCATTCGCCATGGCGTATGGTACCGAGGCAGTTATATCGGTCGAGCACTTGGTTCCGACTATCCGAAGCTTAGCATGGAGCCGAGAGCAAAACGACAGTATGTTGAGGTTTAACCTCGATATATTGGAGGAAAAGAGAGATGCAATGGCAGTAAGGCTCGCATCCTACTAGCAGACCCTTATGAACAACCATAATAAAAAGGTAAAGCACAGAGACTTTGCACCAGGTGATCTGGTTCTGAAGAGGAAGGTAGGAATGGTTAAGAAAATGGTGTCACCTTGGGAAGGCCATATAGAGTTGCAGAAGTCATAGGAAATGGAGCTTACACCTTAGAGACCATGGCTGGAAGGCTGGTCAATAAGCCATGGAATGCTACATCTCTGAAAAGGTATTATCAATGGAAAGTTGAGTTCCAATTTTATCATTGTTCATTTTCAAATTGTGTACGTATGAATGTACGAAATTTTGAAATCTATAAAGAGCTATCTTCCTCTGAAAAATTGAGTGTTTGAAAAACAACAAAGTAAGTGGCAGCTGGCACTACGAGCCGAATGCCAAAAACTTGCCAAAAAATAAAGAGTGACAGTGGCAAGTGGCATTCTAGCCGAGCGCCAACCACTCTGTAAAGTAAGTGGCAGCTGGCACTACGAGCCGAACGCCAAAAACTTGCCAAGAAATAAAGAGTGACAATGACAAGTGGCATTCTAGCCGAGCGCTAACCACTCTGCAAAGTCAGTGGCAGCTGGCACTACGAGTCGAACGCCAAAAACTTGCCAAAAAATAAAGAGTGATAGTGGCAAGTGGCATTCTAGCCGAGCGCCAACCACTCTGCAAAGTTAGTGACAGCTGGCACTACGAGCTGAACGCCAAAAACTTGCCAAAAAATAAAGAGTGACAGTGGCAAGTGGCATTCTAGCCAAGCGCCAACCACTCTGCAAAGTTAGTGGCAGCTGGCACTATGAGCCGAACGCCAAAAACTTGCCAAAAAATAAAGAGTGACAGTGGCAAGTGGCATTTTAGCCGAGCGCCAACCACTCTGCAAAATTAGTGGCATCTGGCACTATGAGCCGAACGCCAAAAACTTGCCAAAACTAAATATGAAGTTAATTGTTATTACTGATGAACAGGTGTAATCAATGGGAAAATATAAAAAAAATTTGGAGCAAAGTTCAGCCAAAAAATCTGTCATCTCATTTATAATAGGAATTTTTGAGGTTACAACCCATAAAGTATACAGATGACATGAATACAAAAAGAAAGAAGTTATGGCAACAGGAGAACCCTAACTGGCTGCCTCTGTTCCATCACCCTCCTGGTTGAGCTGACTTATCTCCTCGCCACCATTGGTCACCCCATCTTCACAAGGAGGAGAATCAAGCTGAATAACAGAGTTGATCTGCTGAGTCTCAACCTCGGCGGTGGTCGCAGAAAGGACCAGGGTGGACAGAGGAAGCACGTCCAAAGACTGATCAGTGGTAGGAGTAGGAGTGACCCTGGAAAGAGCGATCTCCTGACACTCATAAAAAATGTGCTCAGCAGGAGTGGAATCTGGATCAACATAGGTTCCTGGGGGATCAATCTCTAACTCCTTGTCAACCTCATCCGGAGTAGAACCGGTCTAGCCTTCAGCAGGAACGCGGTCGGTGTAACCCTCTCGGAA